CCCCCCACTTGTTCCCTTTCTCTATCCTGCTTTTTTTTTATTATTATTTAACTCACCTGCTCCTGCTGGTTATCAATCACAACCAGGTCAGAACCACGTGTGATGCAGTCTGCTCTGCTGTCGTCCCAGTTCTTTTTCACAGAGAAGGAAAAGTAGTAGCAGGACGAGTTAAATAGAACCCACCCAGAAGGGCATCTACCACAAGATTCATCTAAAGACAAACAAAATATTTATTGCCTCGTTGATTCTTAAATAAAAACAAAAAGTGAGAGCTGCAAAATCAGAACGTATCGTCTCAGTCTGACCTAAAGCTGATATGTTGGACTGCAGGCTCGTCTTCTCTGCTCGCAGGGCTTTAAGCTGTCCCTGATAGCCATTGTTGATGATCTCCAGCTGCTTAATTTGCTTCTTTAGTTGTGCGTGTTTTTTTATTGCCATGTCTAGTGTCCTCTTGGCTTCATCTTCAGCTTCAATCACATCGCTGTGATTGCTACGGAGGAAGGTGAGCTCACTGATCAGCCCAGAGGATGCTGAGTGGGAAACCTGAAGAGAGTTTTCTTTGATTTTGGTACCTGAATGAGGAAAATCACACTGTTAGGACTGTAAAACGCTGTATAATGTAATGTAATGTTGATTCGATTACTAATTCTCTTATGTTTAGTACAGTTACTATACATCAATGAATGTGAATTTTTAAATAAATAAATAAATAAATAATTTGTTTAGTGATTCTGAAAGTTGTTTAGAGTTCTAGAAATTCTGGAAGAAAGTTAATGTAAGAAGTGTCTGTTCGGCAGTTTCATTTAAAGGAAGTTTCTCCAAACAAGGAAATGAAACTTAATAAAAATATATTTTTTAATAAGGTAATACTCACAGTTAACACCAAGAACGACAGCTGTGATGAATAACACGGCATTCAGGAGTCCAAGACACAGGTTAATCACTCTATAGTTTTTTGTACAATTGTAATCACCTGTGGTTATAAAACATAATATGGTAACTTATTGTACTTGAACAGAAAATGCATTTGAAGTATTTGATCAAAAAAAATGATACCCATTTTACAATTAATACATATTTACTTGAAGCAGCAAGATCGATTAAAAAAGTTATCGAAGAAAAATCATACCTTGTCCAAATMTTTTGTAGTTTGGGTTTCTGTCTTCCTTGTCTTCGGTTTGTGTGTATGAACGCTCCATGACTGCAGTGCTGAAGGTACTGCTCACTGATCTGTGGTCAGCACTGCTTTCATACTCATAAGCGGAAACTATGATCATGAATCATCTGCATAATGCAGTTACTGGGTGAGACTCCATGCAGGATATAATAA